GCACCGGGCGGCGGGGGGATATGATGCTCCTGCTGTAGCCGCGGCTGCCGCCACCGCCTTCTCACCCGCCCGCCGCCGTCGGGCCCACCGTCCCGCCGCCGCTTGCCCGACCCCGCCGAGACCCCGGCCCCGGCCCCGGCCCCGTCCTGTGGGTCCTTGTCCGCACGGGACCCTGTCTCCTCCAGCCTCGTCCGCCCGCCTGAGCCGAGCCCCGCAGGTATGGGGTAGGGTGGGCAGGGGTGCCGGGAAGGGAGGCACGTCCGGGAGGGCGACGCGGTTTGGGGCTGGGGACACGGGGAAGGGCATGTGTGTCTGCACTGCCAGGTTGAGTGACGAGTCTCGGACCCCCATCCCGGATGGGGCGGGTGCTGGGTTCTCTTTGGGGGGTGAGTCTCCGAACTCCATAGGTACGGTGGGGGGTGTTCTCAGGGTGGAGGCAGTGACCCGAGACTGACTTGGGAATGGGAGCAAGGAGACCCTCGCTGCTGGCCCCTGGATCCAGCAGGCAGGGGTCAGCACGCCCAGCTCACCTTGGACAGAGGTTGGGGCACCCCGCACAGGGCACGGCCCGCTCTCCTGGAGGGTGGCCCGTAGATGTGAGCGCTGATGGAGATGGAGCCGTGTGGAGGGCGCTGGTGGAGGCAGCCTGGGGAGGGCAGGGCAGGCTAATTGCACCCTGCTGGCTGCTGGCAGGTCCCTGATGGTGGTGATGGGGGGAATGCCTGAGGGACCAGGCAGCCAGCCAGCACCTCACTGCACCGGTGCTGGGCAGTCCATGGGGAGGGAGGGCGAGTGAATCCTGTCCACCCTACAGGGTTAGGGCCCCAGGGTGCTGGGATGGGAGAGGGGTCCCGGGTCGGTCCCCACCCTCCACAGGGACACACAACCCACGACTTGTCCACACATCCCAGAAGGTTCCACCACGTGCTGCTCTGGCCGTGGCTTCTGGAAACAGTGTGGTGGGCATTTTGCCTCACAGGGGGCTCTGCCTTGGGAACCGAGGGGTCCGGGGGCACCTTCTCCTGGTCCATCTGTGAAGGACAGAGCCTGGTGCTGAGCAGCAGCACTGAGGCAGGTGTATCCACGGCCACAAGCTAAGATTGTCCACATGAGATCTGGCCACCCACCCTGATGGGTGGACACCAAGATGCGGCTTCACCGAAGAGGCAGCTGAGGAGGTGACTTCGCCCCGGCTGGGATGCTGGGGGGTCCCTCGGCAGCTACTGCAACCAGCCTGTCCTTTGTAAAAAGGCTCACTGGAGCGCCTTTGGGGTCTGTTGGGTTTCTTTGTCTTCCTTTTCCTGCTGCCTGCCTGCCTGCCTTCTTCAGTCCCTCAAGAGCCCCCCTGAGTGCCCCCTGTCCCCCTGGCTCACAAGGTTCCCCCAGTGTCTTCTGGGATGGCGTGGAAGGGAGCTCTGCTCAACCTCCGACCCTGGCCTCCAGCGAATGGAGGGCTCAAGCTCCAGACACAGTTGACAGTTTGGGCCATTCCAGGATCCCTCAAAACCGAATGCAACCCATAGGGTGTTACTCACCATTTAGGGGCGCTCCTTGGAGAACTTGAGAGACTTCACTAAAAAAAAATCACAGCCTTGAATGGATACCCCAACCTTGCCCAGGGTCTCAGAGGGGCTCTTGGGCCTTTGGGAATCCCTGAGGGTCCTAGGGACCCCAGCTTTAGGTCCAGGTTGCAGTGGGGGCGGGGGAAGTCTACCTGGGAAGGGGAGGGGCCTCTTGTCCCCAGGTCCCTCCGGTCCCACGCAGCCTTTAGGAAAGGACTGCTCTCCTCCTGTGGGTGCTCAGGCAAACCACTTTGTCGTTCTGTTTTCTCGGAGGGCACGGTAGGGCACGGGCACCCATCATGCCTGTGCCCTGAGCTTTGGGGGCCCTCAGGATAGGGCCGGGCTGGCTCCCTCTCCAGATGGTAGCTCATCAAGAGGGAGTCAGGCAGATCTTGCCACCCACCACCCTCCCTCCCCCCAGTTGGCACTGACTTAGTTTCTGCCCTTCCTGGCTGTGTGACCTTGGGCAAGGCACTGACACTCTCTGAGCCTTGTCTCCTGTCTATAAAATGGGGTCAGGGATACCACCTGCCTTGCCGAGTGGCGATGGAGATTAAATGTGATCATTCTGGTAAAGGGCTCAGCCCACAGTAGGCACCAGGGGCATGTTAACATGATGAGATGCCTCCACCCTCTGCTCGCATGGAAGCCCACTCCCCCACTCTCACGCTGCCCAGGGCACCTTAGGACTCAGCTGTCAGGCCACGAGCAGCATGGCCGACAAACGGCTGAATTTGGCCTGTGTATTGGGTGGCTGAGTCACATCCCCAAATTGCATCTTCATTGGTGCATTTCCAAAGGTCGTCTGCGGGCCCCCACCCTCTCCTGGTCCTGTCTGCCAGGCCACCCACCTCTCCTGCCTGTGCCCCCAGAACACCCAGCAAGGATTTGCACTTTCAGGAACGATGGTGAGAGGGGTGCCTGGGGTTTCCTATTCTCCCAGGCAAGGGCAGGGTCTGGGGCTGCTGTGCTGACAAGCTCCCAGACCCGCCTAGCAGCCAAAAGCCCTTAGGGTGGCAGGCAGGAGGAGCGTAGCACCCCAGTGTTTGTGAGACACACACAGAGAGATCAGGGCCAAGGTCAGCCTTATGAACTATGAAGTGCAAAGCTTGCAGAAGGCCAGGCCTTATAAACTGTGATATATTGGGCCCACGTGAGAGGCCAGGCCTTATAAATTGCGGAGTGTCAGGCCACAGGTGGCCACAGCCCGGTTGATGTGATGGGTGGTAGTGGTGAGGGAGGAACATGTTCTAAGACTCATGAGGTCACTCACCGTGGAAGGAATGTTTCTTGCACTTCTGTGTGCTGGTACCAGCATCTGGGGACACACAGTGAGCAGGACATACCCAGTCTGGGGGCACCAGGCAAGGACACAGTGGTCCTGTGATGCATAGGGCTCTGGCGAAGGTCGCCTATGCCCTGCCCAGCAGCATGGCTTATCTCGGCGTGTCCTGACATGACAGTTTCTGCACCTGTCACCCCTTGTCTGTGCCCACAGTCCCTCTCCCAGTCCCCCAGTGCACGCTGGCTTAGCCTTTTCAAAGGGGCCCACACTTGGCACACTGCTGCCAGGCTTGTTGGGAGAATTTCAACCAGGCAGCGTGGTCCAGAATCTACCCTTAAGAAGACAGTCCCATCACAGTATAGTGCCTCAGTTTCCCCATCTATAAAACTGTCCAAATCCCAGGACCCCCTTCTTGGGGATATTTCGAAGATTTAAGAGAAAATTTGTGTGAAATACAGAGACTAGTATGTAACAGACCGGGGGTGGGGAATGTCCGGGGTAGGGAACAGCCTTATACGCTGTGAAGCGCTGGGCCTGCGGGAGACCAGCCCATATAAACTGTGCAGATGGTTAAGAAACATTGGCGGGGTGACCAGCAGGGGGCGTGCAAGGTTTAGAGAGTCGGCTCGGGTGGGTCGGCCAAGTCAGAACCCGGCAGACAGGATCATCGAGGTCCCTGCTGTTGCACATGACGCCCACAATACTGCCCTGTGCTGCGGCAGTATCTGAGGATGTTGGGCAATCAATTGCTCCTCGGCCTGGCGGGGAAACTGAGGCTGGCCCAGGTCACAGGGCCAGGCTGAGCATGGCCCACAGGCCCTACAGATTCAATTCTGGGATCTTCGAGTTAAGTCCCAGGCAGGAGGGAGCTGGGGGTCTCTATCAGCCCCAGCCTCAGTCCCTAATGTTATCCTACCATATCCTGTACCTGCCCACGTGTGTTACGGCCTTGGAACAACTTGATGGGAGGAACTGGGGGCTCAGCAAAGTGAGGTTAAATTGTCCGAGAGCCTGAGGTCAGTGGGAGACCAGCCCCGGTTGGAATCACCTCCCGACTGTGCCCCTGCACAACCTCTGCTCCTCCCAGGAAAACTGCCAGTTCAGTCCCAGGGCATACAGACGTGTTTCCTGGGAATTGGCTGGGTGCTAGGCCTTGTCGAGGTACTTGGAGACCCAGAAAGTCAGTGGGCAAAGGTCAGATAGAGGGTTTTCCAGGCGGAGGGCACAGCACATGTAAAGGCCTGAGGCAGGGCCAAGCTGGCTGGGATAGGTGAGAGGGAGGCCAGTGTTTCTGGAAGAGAGTGATTCTGGGGAGACTGAGAAGGTGAATGGTGTGGAACTCGGACCCCAGAGGCCTCCTGGCCACGGTGGGGAGTTTGGTTTTTATGCAGTGACACTGGGGAGCCACGAGCGGGTTTGAGGGTTCTAGCGGGGGGGGCGGGGGGGAAATAGGTTGACTTGGATGTTTCTAGGATGGCAAACCCATGTGTCAGCTGCTCTGAGTTCATGGCCTCCCAGGTCTCAGAGTGGAGTGGCAGCAGTGGTCCCGGGCCCTCTGATCAGCTGGCATGACCATGTCCCTCATGCCCCTGCAGGTCAGCGTGGGAGCCCCGCTGCTGAGCCATGCCGGGCCCCAGGCAGCCTGCAGCGAGTCCAACCCCGGCACCCACATAGTCATGAACAACCACAGCCACAATGGCTGTGGGGGGCGGCCGCTGGGAGGCGGACTGGGGGCCCTGACCCGAGACCCTCCGGACGCCGAGGCCAGCTGCCCCCTGCAGCCCCCACATAGTTCAGGCCTCCAAGTCGTGGTGGCCAAGAACGAGCTGGGCGGGCTCTCACCCGGCAGCCCCCGAGGGCAGCCCCAGGACCAGGAGGAGGAGGAAGACGATGAGGAGGATGAGGTGGTTGGGCAGAGGGGCTCCAAGAGGCCCCCCAACGTGGGCCACCGCCTGGGCCACCGGCGGGTGCTCTTCGAGAAGCGGAAGCGCCTTAGTGACTACGCCCTCATCTTTGGCATGTTTGGCATCGTTGTCATGGTGACAGAGACGGAGCTGTCCTGGGGGGTCTACACGAAGGTAGGCATGGCCCTTCCCCCTGGCACCTCAGGGAAACCCTACCCAGCACCCCACAGAGGCCCCGCCGGGCACACCTGGCTCCCTGTCATCCCTGGGGAATGGAATCAGGGCACATCGGCCCCAGGAGAGGAGGATGGGGGATACAGGGGACCCTGGAGATGGGAGATGGGGGGCTCCTGGGGATCCTGCTGTGCCCGCTTCCTGGGGTGGCAGGGAGACCGCAGATGGGGGCGGAGACTCCAGTCCATTCCCCCGCTGGCACCAAGGGCCATACCCTGGCTCAAGGTGGGGTAGGGGATGTCCCCCAGGATATGCCTGGGCTGGGGGAGCTCCAGACAAGGCCTGGGTGGAGAGCAGGGAAAGAGCGTCCCCCCGCCCCCCAGCAGTTGGGGCCAGGTTATGAGCCTGGCTGTGGGCCCCTTAGTGCTGCCTTCGAGTGTGTGAGGACAGAGAGAGATCAGGCTGTCCGCCTGTAAACCTGACATGCTGTGCCTGTGCGAGAACAGGCCTGCTAGACCCTGAAGTGCTGTGTCCGTATGAGGCCAGGCCTCATAACCCGTGACATACTGAGCCTACAGGAGGCCCAGCCTTACACCTTCGGAAGTCCTATACCCACAGGAAGCCAGGCCTCACAAACGGTAAAGCACTGACCCATCTTACTCTAAGCCCAGGCCTAAAGAGTGAGGGCAGGAGTGTCACCTTCCGAGTGAAGTGCCCAGGTATGAGGGTCAGAGGGCTGCCCCCGCCCTCAGCATCGTCCTGCTGTCTGCTCTCTCTCTGCCCAGGAGTCCCTGTACTCATTTGCACTCAAATGCCTCATCAGCCTCTCCACAGTCATCCTGCTGGGTCTGGTTATCCTCTACCATGCCCGGGAAATCCAGGTCAGTGCCCGCTGGGCTGGGGTACCCCCTCTCCCTCCACACCAGCCACCTGGAACCCCGCCCCCTAAACATAAGAGGACCCATAGCTTCCTTATAGAAAAGGATCTCTGTGAAGACACACCCTTTCGACCACTCTAAAGTCTCCTAGAACGTGTGTCTGTGTTTTAATTTTTATTGATTATTTGAGAAAGGGTCCGTCAGAGCGCAGGGTGGGAGGTGGGGGTGGGCTAGGGTCTGGCATACACGGCCCATGTGGAGCCCTGGGGTCTTCTGAGGGTTGACAGTGGTGGAAACCAGTGTTATTAGCACCAGGCTCCTTTCGTATTCAATAGGACCCTACATTTAAAAGACTTACCCAGGCCAGGGAGTTTGTTCTTCTGTTGGGGGATTAATCAAAACCAGGCCAGGCTGGAGTCCAGCTCAGGGCATGTCAGGCAGGCGTGCCCACAGAGGGCGGACATCCCCTGGGTCTGGTGCCAGGTCCCAGGGACACCAAAGGTTGTCAGATCTGGCTCCTCACCTCTGGCCTCTGGCCCCTGACAGTCTGGCAGGAAGTGGGTGGAGGAAAATCCTACCGGGGTCGCACCATGTGTAGATGTCTGTGAAGACACCAGGTCGGGCACACGGGAAGGGCCCTGGATGTGCTGAGGGCCGCAGAGAAGGGGCAGGGAGAACTGAGCTGAAAGGAAGCAGTTCTGAGGGTACAGCCATTGGGAACAACAGCCTGGCAGCTCCTCAAACAGTTACTCACAGAGTTAGTTACCAAATGATCCAGCAAATCCACTCCTAGGTATAGATCCAAGAGAAACAAAAACATCCACGCAAAAACTTGCACCCAGATGTTCCCAACAGCCCTCTTCACAATAGCCAGAAAGTGGAAAGAAGTCAGATGTCTATTAACAGGCTTATGGATAAACCAAATGTGGTCTATTCATACAGTGGAGTTGCTATTCATTGTATTATTATTTTGTTGTTGTTAATCCTCACCTAAGGGTATTTTCCCATTGATTTTTTAGAGAGAGTGCAGGGGAGGGGAGAGACAGAGGGAACCATCAGAGTGACAGAGACACATTGATTGGTTGCCTCCCTCACAAGCCCTGACCAGGGCCAGGAATCAAGCCTGCAACTGAGGTACATGCCCTTGACTGGAATCGAACCTGGACCCTTTAGTCCACAGGCCGACGCTCTATCCTCTGAGCCAAACCATCCAGGGCTCATTGTATTATTAATATATTTATATATTATTCATTTATTTACTATTCAACCTTAAAAAGAAAGAAGGACGTTTGCACAGCTGAGTGGCTTCAACAAACAGAAGTTTATTTTCTCACAGTTCTGGAGGCTGCAAATCCAAGATCAGGTGCTGGCAGGACTGGGTCCTGGTGAGGCCTCTCTCCTTGACTTGCAGGCAGCCACTTTCTCACTGTGTCCTCACATGGCCTTTCCCCTGTGCACATGTATTCCTGGTGTCTCTTCCTCTTCTTCTTCTTTTATATTTTAATTCTTACCTGAAGACATGATTTTTTATTGATTTTTAGAGAGAGAGGAAGGGAGAGAGAGAGAAAAACAGCCATCTATGTGAGAGAGAAACATCGATTGGTTGCCTCTCGCACACATCCTGACCGAGGCTTGAACCCGCAACCATCTGGGTACGGGACGATACCCCAAACAACTGAGCCACCTGGCCAGGGCTCTTCCTCTTCTTAGAAGGACACAGTCATATAGTATTATGACCTCATGACCTCATTTAACCTTAATCACCTCTAAAGGCCCTGTCTCCAAATACAGTCCCGTTGAGAGGGCTTCGGCATATGAATTTTGAGGGGACACGATTCAGCCCATAACAATCCACCTTCTGGTCCATCCCCCAAATTCATGCCCTTCTCCCGTGCAAAATGCATTCATTCCATCCCAATAGCCCCCAAAGTCTTAAGCCATTTCAGCATCAAGTCCAGAGTTTCATTTAAATGTCATCTAAGTGAGATCCGGGTGAGGTTAAGGTGAGCTGCTTCTCCAGCAGTGACTCAGACAAGAGCTGGCACAGGCATCGGGCAGGCATTCCTCTTCCAAAGGGGAGAATCCAAAAGAAGCAAAGGGCATGGGTTCTGATCAAGCCCCAGAGCTCGCCAGGCAGATTCCAGGAGAGCTGAGGGCCCCACCTTCCAGACCCCCTGGGGTGGCAGCGTGGCCCCTGGGCCCTGGGGAGGCCTTTGTGTCTGGCTTCTGCGCCTCAGCCTGATGTTTTCGAGGGCCACCCGCACCGTGGGGTGTGCCAGCGTCTATTCCTCCTGATGGCTGAGTAACACTCCTTCCTGTGAATGGACACATTGTGTTCATCCTCCGGTCCTTGGACGGACACTGGGCTGTTTCCACTTCGGCGCTGTCAGCAGTGCAGCTGTGGCTGCGCATGGACGGGCATCTGTTCCAGCGTCTGCTTTCCTTTCTCTTGCGGATCCCACCTAGGACTGGGGTTGCTGGGTCATGGTCACTCCGTGTTTAACTTTTTGTGGGCCACCGGCCCCAGGTTTAGTGTGAAGAGTGGCCAACCCTGGGATGTAAGGCGTTTTGCCGAGGAGGCGTGTTCCCGGTAAAAGTCGAGGGGGAGGGATTTCATCGCGGGTCTTGCTGGGGGGCCGGGATGTGTGTCTGAGGCCCGCCGCTGCCTGTCCGCCCTCCGCAGCTGTTCATGGTGGACAACGGGGCGGACGACTGGCGCATTGCCATGACGTGCGAGCGCGTCCTCCTCATCTCCCTGGAGCTGGCCGTGTGTGCCATCCACCCGGTGCCCGGCCACTACCGCTTCACCTGGACGGCGCGGCTGGCCTTCACGTACGCGCCCGCGGCGGCCGAGGCGGACGTGGACGTGCTGCTGTCCGTGCCCATGTTCCTGCGCCTCTACCTGCTGGGCCGCGTCATGCTGCTGCACAGCAAGATCTTCACGGACGCCTCGTCCCGCAGCATCGGGGCGCTCAACAAGATCACCTTCAACACGCGATTCGTCATGAAGACGCTCATGACCATCTGCCCCGGCACCGTGCTGCTCGTCTTCAGCATCTCCTCCTGGATCATCGCTGCCTGGACCGTGCGCGTCTGCGAGAGGTGTGTCCTGACCCCCAACCCCTAACCCGGTGAGCTCCAGGCCCACCCATGACTTCAATGGTCGCTTCTGTCCCCCTGATCCCAGTGAGCCCCAGGCCCACCCATGACTTCAGTGGCTCAGAGCTCCCTCAGCCGTCGCTTCTGTCCCCCTGATCCCACTGAGCCTCAGGCCCACCCATGATCTCAGGTGCCCAGGGCTTCCCTAGCAATCATGCCTGACCCTGACCCTGACCCTGATGACCCCAGGCCCTCCATGACTTCAGTGACCCAAGGCTCCTCCCGCCAGCTCTTTCATCCCCTTGATCTCCCCTCCCTGCCCCGTCCAGTTCCTGGCCTCAGTGACTGACCATAACCCTGGGACTCCAGCCTTGTGTCCCCAACCACCCCTGACCCACACCCCTCTGCGACCCCAGCACCCTTCCCCCCACTTTCCTCCAGGGGTACTCATGCTCTTTCTCCCAGCCCCTCTACTCTGCGGGCAGCCGGCCTCTGACCTCTGGCCCAGGCAGCGGAGGCAGCAGGAACGGATGCCCGCCCATCTGCCCGTCTCCACCCCAGTGTAACTTGCTCTCCTTCTCCCCTCCGCCTGCCCCGCTGGACTGTAGGGGAAACATGTGAGTCCCAGCCTTGGCCAAGCTGTGTGTGCAGAGCTGCTGCCACCATGCTGCCCATGAGGAATTTAAGATTAGCTGCCGAGAGGGGAGGGAATGGGGAGGGGAGGCAGGGTGGCCAGGCTGGCAGGAGCCCTCGGGGGTGGGGAGAGTCCATCCCTGTGGGGGTGGGGGGTGGGGCAGGTAGGATTGAGTCAGGCTCAGGACAGTGGACAGTGGGAGGCAGGCCATTCTCAGCTTCTGTCCGCTTGGGGTCCTTGGGGGCTTTGTCCAAGGTGAGGGGAGGAAGAAGGGCTGAGCTTTAGCATCTTGTCTGGGCGGCTGACCCAGGGATCTGGAGTCTGGGGTGAAGGAAAACTGGCCCAGCCTTTAGGACCCCTACTTGGGCTTTGTTCTCAGCCGTCCTGGAGGATGGCAGGCCATCAACCCAAGTTACAGATGGGGAAACGGAGGCTCTCAGGGCAGAGGGACATTTCTAAGAGCCTGTTTCTGGTTGTCTCCCAACCCCCGGGGATGCAGGGAGGGAGGGGCTCTGCTGGGCCTCTCAGGGCAGAGGGACACCTTGTCCGGGAGGGGTCTCTCCTGCCTCGTGCCTGGTTGCGGAAGGCTCTGCAGGGGTCTGTTAGGTGGAGCTATGATTGGGCTTCCTGGGGGAGGGGTCCCTGGGCTGGACTTGCCCCCAGGACCTCAGTCCTCAGTCTTCAAGCCCCCCTCCTTGTCATCAAGGCTTACCATTTGGGGGTCACACGGGGCCTCCTTGGACCCTGATAGGCCCCAATGTCAGTTCCCACAGCCCGTTCCCCACCCTTCAGGGCAGGCTCAGGATCAAGGTCTGGGGAATGAGAGAGGGGCATCCCTCAGGCATCCCTGAGGTCCAGGCTGGATCATTCCAGGGGTGCCCAGGTGGGGGTGGGGAATGGGGCAGGGTGGGGGGCAGCCAATCCTAAATTCTGAGCCCATATTGCTGCTTGAAACCCCCTCGCCTGCCTCCCTCTGCCCCGCAGCTCGGTCCCACCCCTACCTCACCTCCTGCATGCCCCCCTCCCTGGTCCTGGGGGTTCTGCAGCACCCACCATGGCTGGAGAGCCCCCTCCTGCCTCCTGAGTTGAGGGTGCTGGTGTCCCCAGAGTTGGAAGCTGAGACAGCTTGGGGTTCAGGTACCTCAGTGAAAGAGGGGGTCAGTTTCTGTTCCCTGCACCCAGCAAGCAGCATGGGAGCCCCCCAGTGGGGCGGAGACTCCCAAACACCAGACCTGCTGTGACAGCCTCCATCCCTCCCGCTCCCACTGGGGCTTCCCTTCCATCTCCTCCCCACCTTGAACCCCGGGCCCCAGCCCCTGCCCACCGCAGTGAGGGGCCCACCTCCTTGTGCCACCGTGGTTGGCCTCTTACCTTGAACCCTTTCAGTGGGGGTCTTCGCCCGCTGGTGGGGGTTTCAGATGGCCTGAGGCCTGCTGAGGAGGGGTTAGTTGGAAAGGGCTCCCCCAAGCTGCAGGGGCCTTGCAGGCTGGGGGCTGGCCTAGAGCAGAACCTTGAGCTGCCCCCTGACCCAGAGAACCAGCCCCTCGGCCCCCAGCCTGGGCTGACACAGGTGGAACCTGTTCATAGTCTGTGTGGCCAGGGTCCCAGGCCAGGCTGTGATGGAGACAAAGCAGTGTGCTTTGCAAGGCCTTGGGGCCTGTGCCCCCCCCCCCCCACACACACACATCAAAAGTTTAGCCCCAGGCCTCTCCCCAGGGCTAAGTATGCTGTCCCCTCTCTCCTTACCCCAGGTCAACCCAGGCCTGGGGTTGGGGTGACTGGTGCTGCCTTCCACATATCCCTCTTCACCCAAGTCCTGGAGCATGATTCTTCAACCCCCCATCTCCCCAACAGACCCCTCCCTCAGGGCCTGGCTGGCTAGGGAAGTTCTTCCTGGTGTCTGATGTGAATCCTCCCCTCCACTCCCTGCTGCTTCTGGTGCCCATGGCCACCCGTGTCCGCGCCTGTCTGTATGTCTGTCTATGGGAAAGGTATCCGGCGGACATGCGTGGACCCATGTGGACGTACCCTCACCTGGACCCTCTCTGCTCCGTGACCAGGGCTGGAGCAGCAGCTTTGGGGTCGGTGAAAGGAGGAGGGTGAAAGGGAGCCCGGGAGGAGGATTTGGGTGCCCTCTGTCCCGGAAGCACCCCCCTCCCCCCGCCTGCAAACAGGCCTTTATCATGGGAGCCCTCGGAGTGACGGGCTCCCTGATTCAAGGCACTGCCCCAGGGGGTGTGGTGAAGGAGGAGGGACCAGTCGGGCTGACCAGCCCTCCCTACTCTCCCCAGGTACCACGATAAACAGGAAGTGACCAGCAACTTCCTGGGGGCCATGTGGCTCATCTCCATCACCTTCCTCTCCATTGGCTACGGAGACATGGTGCCGCACACGTACTGCGGGAAAGGCGTGTGCCTGCTCACCGGCATCATGGTAAGGCCGGGCCCTTGCGCGCGCACACACACACACACACACACACACACACACACACCGACAGGGAGGTCACCGTCACAAGCTGTACCACACAGACAGGCGTTTGTTCTTGCAAACACATGACGCCATCCCCACCACCATTTCCTGTCCTCCTGCAGGAGGAAGGGCCGTCACAGAGGCTCCGAACGCACTGTCCCCACTTGTCACCATCTCTTGAAACCTGAAGCCCAGTTGCTCTGTTCCTCTTCACTTCTCACTCCCTCTTGTCTGGACGCCGCTGCTGGGGGTCGGCTTCCTCCTGCCTCCCCACCAGGCCGCCCTCCTGGCTGAGCTGAGCGGCCCCTCCCTTGTGAAACGGCATCGTGCACTTTGCTTATGTTATTTTGTGGCAGTGGAAGGGGGGTAAGTTAAAGCTCAGCCAATCCCTCCCCCTCTCCCAGCAAATGAACTTTCTAAATAAACAAACAAAACACTCAGTGTAAATCCAGAAAACCCTCAGTGAAATGGAAAAGCCGTGTTCTCTTCTCTGGGATGCGGCTCCTTCCAGAAAACCAGGTTCATGTCCAACCTACAGCTCACTCCCAGCCCTCGCCCCCAGCACACACACACACACACACACACACATGCGCGCGCGCGCACACGCACACATACACACACGCACACACACATACACACACACGTGCACACACACACACACACACAGGTCATGCTTGGGTCCCTTTAGCTACTCTGTTAGCTCTCTCCTGCTCCATCTGTGCCCAGCGCGCCCCCTCCCGGTCACTGCTCACACGCTCATCCCCGTCCGTCTCACCAACCACGTGCTTCCCTATTCTTGAACTTCAAGGTCTCCCAGCGGGGCTGCCTCTGAGCCCAGGTGTTTTGCTCAGCGTGGCAGCTGTGCTGTTGTGCAGAGTGGTCCTCTGTTCTCTTCCTTGCCGTGTAGTCCGCCACGTGCAGGTCCGAGCCTGTTACTTTGCCCCTAATCACAGGGCTTTTCCTGAGAACAGGCTCGTGGGTCCTCCCAACGCCCTTGCCCTGACCAGGAACCCTCATCAGGGTTTCCTTGGAGGGTACGTTGGTGCCCACCTCACCAAGCCGGGCATGTTGGCCCAACCAGGAGAGTTTGACAGTGTCCCTGGCCCTTGTCCACTCCTCCCCATAAGTGTTTCCTTCCACCCCTGAGAAAAATTGAACTAGTGCCAGCCACACCCCCAGCCCCAGCCCTCAGGGCCCAAGCCGGGGTTTCTCCCTCCTCCACCCTGTACTCAGCAGCTGCAGGAGGAAGCAGCTGGCCGGTGAAGCACCAGGGACAGCCTCCAGCGCAGGCAGAGAACCAACTTCTGGCTCCATCACCAGCTCCTGCCACCTACTTCCTGGTCACTTCTGAGGCTGATGACACCTGCTGAGTGTCCTAGGCTCCCTGGACCCCACTTCTCAGTGGCAGAACCTCCCCTCTCCCCCACTTCCTTCCTCCTGTGTTGCCTTTTGCTGCCCCTCCCTTACCTGCCCTTCCCTCCTCGGCGCCTCGCTCCTGCCCCCTGTCCCTCCCGGCAGCCCCCAGTGACCTCCTTTCCAGGCTGGGCTGCCACTAAGGGCACCCTGAGGGGAGTGGTGGCACCCACCAGGGAACCACATGAGGAGGCACCCTTCCCCCTTCCCCGCCTGCTGGGACCTGTGCATTGCCTCTTCCTTCTGCAGATGCCCCACTGTGGGCAGCTGGCTGGCCCTCCCCTGACACTTCCCTTCTCGCTGTCAGCTGATCCTCGTTACCGTTCAATAACCTGTTAGCCCAGTCTCTGTCCCCAATACCCAGACCCAAAGCCCTGGCAGATTCTAAATCCTCCCACTTCCATGGTCATCGGCCCCAAACTTGCCTGCAGATCCTGCTGTTCCTCGTCCCTTTCTTATCTCCGAGCCTCAGTTTCCCGCTCTGCCCAACGGAGATAAGAATGGAGTCGTTGGGATAAAATGAGCTGATCTGTGGGACACGCTCCCCTGACATTTGACGGAGAAAGCACATGGGGTCGGGAGTCAGTGAACTCTGTGCCAACACTGCAGGCGTGAAGGGTAAAGTCAAAGGTGGGATCAGGACAGGCTTCCTGGAGGAGGGAGCGTGTCCTGCTTTGGCCCGGGATCCACATAAAGCAGGATGTTGATGTGCTCCCACCCTCCTCACGCAGGGGGCGGGCTGTACAGCGCTCGTGGTGGCTGTGGTGGCCCGGAAACTGGAGCTCACCAAGGCAGAGAAACACGTGCACAACTTCATGATGGACACACAGCTCACCAAGCGGGTAAGGGTGCCAGCCCCGCTCACGGCCGCCTCTGCTCCTGACCATCAAGGGCAGACCCTCCCCGCCTTCTGCCCATTGTAGGCGCACCCATGTGCCCACAGGTCACCACCCTGCCCTATGCATGCCCACACCGCACTGGGCTCTGCCATGTGTGCGAACGCCCATGAGCTGTGCACAGAGACGTGGTGAAGGCCACGGGTGTCCACCTGTGTGCCCAGCCACAGCCCCGCCTGGGCCAGGCAGTGAGAGGCAGGAATGATGGGACCAGGCAGCCAAGTGCAACTTACCAGCTGACCTTGGCAGGTTGACCTCACTGTGCCTCGGTTTCCCCAGTGTGAAATGGGAAACTGCTCTTTCTCTGGCCCCAGGTGAAAAATGCCGCTGCTAACGTTCTCAGGGAGACGTGGCTCATCTACAAACACACCAGGCTGGTGAAGAAGCCAGACTACGCCCGGGTTCGGAAACACCAGCGTAAGTTCCTCCAAGCCATCCATCAGTAAGTCCAGCACCTTTCCCACTCACGTTTCTGTGTCCGCCTGGGGCGGAGGCAGCGTGACACCCCCCACGGGAAGAGGCCGAGGGCCAGGCCAGACAGCCCAGCCTGGCCTCATCACGGCCCTCCTATGCTAGGTGGTCAGTTGTTTGGGGCCAGCAGCTTCTGTTGGATGGGGTAGTGGGGATGGCCAGAGGGAGATATGTGATGGGCCCAGCATTCGTCCAGGGAAATCACCTTTGATAAGGCATGCAGTCCATCCAACATAAATGGCAAGAAGCATATTTTATTCCCTGGAATAGCCCAAATGAATTTACCCCTTAAGACACTGAAGCAGTGTCCCCTTTTGCTTTGGCTAGCAGGAAGCTCAGAACCTGTGGCCTGATCTATAAGCTCGTGTGGAATAATTAGAAATTACTTAATTTCCTCTTTTGTCCCTTTGTCCTGAGAATTACTTATTCAAGTAGTTCTCATCCTTGGCTGCTCGTTGGAGTCACTCAACTGGCTTCTAAAAATCCTCCAGGCCACACCCCACACCAGTTACACTACAGTCTGGGATTAGCCTGGGTTTAAGCTTAAGTTCCTCAGGTGAGTCCAATGTGCAGCCAGAGTTGGCAACCTTTCCTGTAACGGGCCGGATAGTAAATATTCCCCGCGTCGTGGACCAGATCATCTGTCTCTGCTCTGCTCTGCTGTTGTGACAGGAAGGCAGTGGAGATGAATGGGTGTGTCTGTGCTACAGGTTATTTTCCGAACAGGCATCTGCCAGGCTTGGCTCACAGGATATGAAATCTCACAGGATATGAAATGCCAGTTACTGTCCACTAAAGATATCATATGAGCTGCATCTATAATTTCAAATTTCTTAGTAGCCACATTTTTTTTAAAAAGCAAAAGGAAGCAAGTAAAATAAAATTAATATATTTATTTAGTGTATCCAAATTATTATTTTAACATGTGATTAAGGTTTAAAAAATCATTGAGATACTTTATAAAGTTTTTTGTACTAAATCTTCAAAGTCCATTGCATATTTTACACTTACAGCTTGTTTTTATTCGGACTGACCACACTTCAAGTGCCACATATAGGATGCATGAGACAGCACCCTGTCGAGAATTTAAACAGCTCCGAATTCTGTGGGGTTGAGTCACGTGGCACCTGATTTTTTTAAAGAGTAAAAACATGTTCTTAGGCACTTTTCAGAATGAGCCTCTCTGAAGAGAGTTCCCGAGTCTCAGATCACGAGAAAACCCATTCACAAGTGGCTTCTCCTCGGTGCCCGAGAAGGCTCCTGCCCCCAGAACTCGCAGGCCAGACTCAGGGGCTGATGAGTTAGAGTGAGATGAACAGGGTTAGGGTCTGAGCTAGTGCAGCAGGAAGGCAACCGACTCAACCATAACCAAGAGGCCGCACAGGGAACACCAGTGTGAGCGGTGGGATGGGGATGTGGATAGAGCAGGGAGCCCAGGTGCGGCTGGGGCAGCCCAGAGCCTGGGCGTCCAGAGGTAAAGGAGAGTGACCACTTCCCAGGGAGAGACCAGGCCATGGGAGAAGAGGCTCGCCAGCTGGGCTTTAATTGTTTAATTCTGTTCAATCATGTTTACCTCTTTTTTAGAAACAGCTTTATTGGGGTATAATTGACATAGTCAACTGCACCTACTGAAAGTGTACAGTTCGATGAGTGTGAACATATATTCACACCCATGAAACGATCATCACAGTGAAGATAATGAACAGATCCATCCCCCCAAAAGTTTTCTTATGCCGCTTTCCATCCTTGTCTTTTAACTGGAGAGTTTAGTTCATTTACATGTATTGTGTTTGCTGTTATAACTGGGTTGCTTCCTAATGATAATGATCCCCACTGCCCAGGACTTCGGGAGGTCTAAATGAGATGATTCGCAGAAATGCCTGGCAGGGTCCCCAGCACAGAGCAACCTCTTGGTAGCACAGAGCGTCCACCTCACCCCCAGCCCCTGCTCTCTGCCTCTGCTTCCACCACCATCTGAACACGCGGGAGAGGAGCTGGTATCCATTGACTTCACTGTGCCCAGGCGTTAGTCCTGCCTCCTCACAAGACTTTGAGACCCTTGAGGACAGGGACCTCTCCTTGCTGACTCTCCCATAGTTGTTAGCTGACCACTGGTTCCCAATCCGGTCTCTCCCACCGAACAGTGGGGCCTGGGCAGGTGACGACACTGCTCCAAGTATCTTATGTGTAAAGCGGAGATGACGGTGATGTGCCTCTCTCCCAGGAGTGTGATGCAGATCGAACACAGTCCGGATGACCGATGACTCACCTGGGCCAGACTGACACACAGTGCTTTCTAAATATAGGAACTGGATTGTGGTTACTTCCGCCCTCGATCTGGTCGTTTTGTCATTCCACAAGCATTTCCTGCACCAGCCGGTGTGGGGGTCACTAGACGAGGCCCCGCCCTGGATCTTGCCCTGTGGGATGTTCCAGAAAGTTCTTTGGGGAAAGCAGGGGTATGAGAACTGAGGAGAGCCAGGTCTTGGGAGAAGGCACCTGCTCTGTGAATGGTCTGTGACCATTTGTTCTAGGGCAGGACTGTTGCACTCACCTTTAGATCTCCCTGCACCCCCACCCCCCACCAAAAATAGTAGCCCTGTAAGAACAGATGATGAAGTCAAGCAAGTGTGCACTAGGGCCTGAGGGTGGATAAGATCTGAGTCGGAAACTGAGAGGCAGGCTGCATACCAAGGAGTGCCCACAGCTTGAGGAAGGCAAGGCGGTGGGCTCAGGCACACACCAGGGAAACGAGGTCTGCTCTGCACACAGGAGGCAGCCGGGGCACGTCCTCGAGCTGGAGAGGCCCCCGGAGGGAGCGCTGTGTGCAAAGCCAGAGGAAAGGAAGAGGTGGTCTTGGAGAAGATGGGGTGGGGAGTGTGCGTGTCTCCTTGGCTGTAATAAGTGGGTGGTTTGAAGCAGCAGAATTTATGATCACTGTCCTGGAGGCCAGAAGACCAAAATCCAGGTGTCAGCAGGGCTGTGTTCCCTCTGAAGGTGCCAGGGAGGATCTGTTCCAGGGCTCTCTCCTAGCTTCTGGCAGCATCCGGCACTCTTAGCTGACAGATGCATCGCTCCAATGGTCATTTTCATGTGCTGTTCTTCCTGCGTCTTCATATTGTCCTCCATCTGTGCGTGTCTGTGTACAGACTCCACCTTTTGTATAAAGACACCAATCATATTGGGTTAGGGTTCCCCCAGTGACTTATCTTAACCTGGTGAAACAAGGTCACATACTGAGGTCTTAGGGGTTAGGACTTCAATATATCTTGTGTGGGGAACACCATTCAACCCATATGACAGAAAGGTTATAGAGAAGCCAAGAATGACTCCCCAGGGAAGGCACATCAGGGCTCCTCAGCAGCCTTCTGGGGCCATCTGTATTCACCTCCGTTTCTCCAGACTGAGGGCTGGGTCTTGGGGGCCCCGGCAGTATTCAGCATGGTGGGCCCCGAGGGGCCTCCCCAGGCATCCATCGCATGTGGGCACACAGGCTGCGTTTGAACCAGTGAAGAAGAGAGTCTTACCTGGAACCACTTCCCTGGCCAGGTTAACTACAGAGGCATGGAGAGGAAGGGTGAGGACACACAGGCCCATGCCCCACGCCTTGGGCAGCTGTTGGAGGCCAAGGGCGTAGAGGCTGACCAGATCCTGCCAGGGTGTTACCAGCCATTGGCTTTGCCGCTATGAGCCTCAGTTTCCCCCTTAGGAAACATCATGGGTATAGTTTCCTGGACTAAAAGTCACCTCTAGGGCCAGGTGCCTGGCACAGGTTGGCAGACAGCAGAGTTGCAGAGCGAGGGCAGCTGCATTTGTCCTGGCCAGGGCTGGGGGGATACTGCTCAAGGGAGGGGGCAGAGGACAGATGCATCTCTGAGGGGCTGGCACTGCCCTCTCAGAAGCTGAGCCCCTCTGCAGAGCAAGGGCAACAGCCCCTCGGGTCCAGGGGTCAGCATGTGGGAGGATGGCAGCATTGGGCATGAGCTGCCCAGCAAGTGCTGAGATTAAAATTGCCCTGTGATTTCTCTCTGCTCCACCGGGTCCTGCCAGAGCTCAGAAGTAAGTCTCTCCCTGAGGGTCAGGGGTGCATGGTGGTCATGGGTCAGGGTGCATCCCCGGGGCAGCTCCTGGAGGCGGCCAGGGCTTGTGTCCACCCTGCAGACCAGTGCAGGCTTTACCGAAACATCCGGACTCGGGCCCTGTGGACATAGCCAGACGGTGGTCACTTGGGTGGTGGCTGAGCTGCCTCCCAGGCCCTGCTGCCCCCTACATGTGGGGAGGGAGTGGGCTGCAGGGGGCCAGGCCCCAACCCCCACCTCATCTCCCCACTGCATGTCCCACAGGGCAACCCTGGGTGGGGCAAGTGCATGAAGGACTCCCCCTTCCCCCCAACAATGCATCCTCCACACAACCCCACCCACCCACCTGTCCTCAGGCTCCGGAGTGTGAAGATTGAGCAGGGAAAGCTGAACGACCAGGCCAACACACTCGCAGAGCTGGCCAAGGTGAGCAAGGTGGGGCCAGGTGGGATGGCTCCCTGGGCCGGTCTGGGCTGGTTGGGTCACTGGGGAGAAAAGGGATCATTTCAGTAAAGGACAGGGCACAGCTCCTGCTGAGGGAGGGACAGCACCGGGGTTCTCAGGGCAGGCAGGTGACACCAGCAAGGGAAGCAGGGCGGCAAGAGCCACCAGGGAACACCAGCCCTGTCTGCAAGGGTCCATCGTGACCAGAAGCTCGACTGTGAGAGGAACTCCGGGAATCTACATCTGTAAAAGTTATTTTTAACATCGGCAGTAGTTTCATTTTTAAACAATGTACTTTTATTGATTTCAGAAAGGAAGGGAGAGGGAGAGAGATAGAAACATCAATGATGAGAGAGAATCATGGATCGGCTGCCTCCTGCATGCCCCCTACTGGGATCGAGCCCGCAACCTGGGCATGTGCCCTGACTGGGAATTGAACTGTGACTTCCTGGTTCATAGGTTGATGCTCAACCACTGAGCCAAACTGGCTGGGCTAGTGTTATTTTTTTAAAAATTAATATCTAAGAAAATAGTATATATGGGCAAAATTGATGATGTGGTACTTTTGCTGTGGATATAAATTCAAATAATAGCACCAACAGAAAGCTCAACACCTTTTAGGAAATTAAAGTTGATTCCACAAGCTCAGTAAGATCAGTTTGTGTCATAAATGGATCTATTTGTTGGTTCAAACATCAAGTCCTACCCTCTTTCCTGCTTTTCTCTTAGAATGTTTTCACACGATTCAGAACTTGCTCCTGACAATGTTGCATACTTCATAAGTAGTTCATGTGTGAGCTTCGCCTATTGGTCCCACTCCCTAGTCAATTATCAGTTAGAAGCTACTTTAATGTTATCTTTAGAAAATGTTAAGCCCTATTCTATTTCACTTCTTATACCCAGCTCATTGTGGACTCGCTCTCTTCCTCATTTCAAGAGCTTGCAAATTGATTTAATATTAACCTACATAAAATTAACTTGAAAGGGAACATTACAGAGGAAAAAAATTCTAGAACCCTGAAGAAATAATTCAGCCCGGCTGGTGTGGCTCAGTGAGTGGTTGAGCGTCAACCTATGAGCAGGAGGTCATGGTTGCATTCCCGTCGAGCACCGGTGGCAAGCTTGATCCCCAGTAGGGGATGTGCAGGAGGCAGCAGATCGATGATTCTCATCATTGGTGTTTCTGTCTCTCTCTCCCTCTCCCTTCCTCGCTCTGAAATCAATAAAAACATGATTTAAAAATAAATCAATCAATTGCTAGTAGAAACTAGAACATAACCCTAAGAATATAAAAATCATTGGCCAACTAATTTGATGTCATATGAGATTACAGCTATAAATATAACATGCCTTGGAAAAACTCAGATACTAGGAATTATAATTTGAATTATCCATATTACACTTCTTTAGCACAAATTATTGAAATTTTAATTTTTAAATTATATAAACCTTGTCATCATGGTGGTATACTCTCAAAATACATTGTACAAAAGCTTCTTTGAATTCAGTCTTTAATTAGATTGGATTATATGGGTTTCTAATTTTTTTTAATTAAACAAGGTTAAAATGTTTTCCAATCAAATTTTTCTGCTTGCCTTTCCAAGGTTGCTAATTTAATTGGTATTTCTCTGGCAAAAATAAAATATATGGGGTGGCCCATAAAAGTGTATACACACTTTACAGCTAATAGCTCAATGGTGTTTCTTTCTTGTCAGATTTAACCCATTGGAATTAATTATTCAAAGTGTGTATACATTTTTGGGGACATCCTGTATATCCTAAATTTAAAACAATTTTTTTTTAAATCTCAGAGAGGGCCAAAATGAACCACCCCAGTGTTGGATGCCTCCAGATATTACCGTCTGACCCTGGGGACTGTGGTTCCTGAGGCAGGCTGGGGTGAAGGTCAGTGGCCCTAGGAGGGGCTCCGAGGGGTTTGTCCTCCCCCAGGGGGGTCAGCCTGCTGGGAACAGAAGAAAGGGTGGAGGGCACGGAGGAGGGCAAAGGTGTGGAGTGGCTGGGAGAGTCTGCAGGTGTGTAATCGGCGCCTCATCCTATTTCTCTCCCGCGGAGCGAGGGGTTGGGGGTGCTTTCCCCCCTCAAGTCTGTCCTCCCCTCCAAAACCTAGGAGGGGCCGAGGACTCCGGTTCCGCCTGCGGGTCTGGTCACCGAGAGCTGGGGTGAGAGAAGCAGGGCGATGTTGTAGCGCCACCTGGTGGCGAGAGTGGGTCCTTCTGAACAGTAGAACTGGCCCGTGCTGGCTGCCCTGTGGGGAGGAGTAAAGATGGTGGGGACACCTGTCGCCCATCAAACAGCGATTATGGCTGCCGTGTTCCTGGGTCTGTGATTGGGTCAGACCCTCTGGATACCCACCTCCCTCCAGACCCCTATGCAACCCCTAGTCTAATGTATGTGTTATGTGGCCAGTTCAATCCCTCAGGGCAGCTCTAGTCACATCCACCCTCCCCAGTTCAGCCCTTGGCCTTTCCCAGGCCTGCTGGCCCCAGCTTGTCATCTAACTTGTCTGTCCCTCACCTATTCTCCCACCATTTCCTGGGATCTAGCAGGAGACCTGCAGGGCTGGGGGTGTCCTCACAGTTGCAACTGTCTGTGTGTGTGTCTGTCACTTCTGTCTCACTCAGCCTCTTCTCCCGCCTCTGTCTCTCACAGACGCAGAATGCCATGTACGACCTCATGTCCGAGCTGCACGCCCAGCACGAGGACCTCGAGGCCCGCCTGGCTGCCCTCGAAAGCCGCCTGGATGCGCTGGGCACCTCCCTGCAGGCCTTGCCTAGCCTCATCACCCAAGCCATACACCCACTTCCCCCACCCTTGCCTCCCCAGCCTGGCGCCCCAGACCAGGCAGCCCAGAGCTCCCCCTGCCGGTGGCCACCCGTGGCCCCTTCAGACTGCGGGTGATGGCCATGCCCACCACCGGACCCCACAATCTTGGCCATTGTGTGGCCGCCACCTCCACACCATCCAGGAAGGCCGGTCTAGTTGTGCCTCTTGGAGTACAAGGAGCCAGAGCTGAATTGGGCTGAGTGGCCAGGGGCCCGTCCCACCCAGACTGTCCGGACAGGGGTGGCTGCTGCCTGCTTTCTCCCTGAGTGGAGCTTAGGGAGCCCAGGGCTTCCTCTGGTTCCCTGGCCCCCTAACTCTCCCCAGGCCCCCGGCGGGCTCAGAACAGCAGGGAGAGGGGTCCTTGCCACTTCTTAATAAAGCAGGACCCATCCAGTTGCCGCCTGTCGTGTGTAGCTGGGGGACACTCGTCGTCACAATATGGGAGGTGGACACCTTGCCTGGGGTCCCAGAATGGATATGGGGGTTAAGGTGAGCCAATCTCCATCATCTTCCGAGCCTGGTAGCCTCCTGAGCCCGAGCCTGAGGACAGCTGCGCCCATCCCCCCTGGCACTGGTAGAGGGGCCTGCCGAGGATGTGGGCCCGCCCCCACAGGAGGCACTGGAGTCAGGCATCCTTCCCTCTGACCAGCTGGCTTTGCTGGAGCACCCACTGTGGGCCGGGTGCCAAGAAGCACAGTCCAATAAGGGAGCTGACACGGGTGAGGAGGGCTATTCAGTCTTCATTGGACATGTATTGAGCACCTGCTGTATACAGGGAATGTGAGGTAAATGATCACACTGACTCTACCAGAACCTGACCAGGGTGGGATAGGGAAACTGAGACTCAGAGAAGGGAAGCCACCTGCCTGGGGCTACAAAGTGAGGAGTGGTGAGCCAGGGCTCACACTTGGGGACCCACTGGCCACCATGAAGAACCCAGACTTGGGGGAGGACACTTTGTGGGGGGCTGGTGTGAGCTGGGGAAGGTGTGGTGCAATGTGGGGTTAAAGTGGCCCATTTGGGGTGGGCGGGAAGGGAAGGTTCTGGACACAAGTAGAATCAGAACCATCCCTCCAGGCCTTGGGCTCAGGGTCCTGGGGTCAGGTAGGGGGCAGCAGGCACTAGACAGATGCTGGGCCCTGATGGGGGTGGAGAGGGAAACCCTGGCCCCTGCGGAGGCTAATCTGGGCCCAGCAGACAGCCCAGGCCCTGGCAGCCTCCGATAAGCCATTGGCACCTGGCTGGGGGAGATAGGTTGGTGCAAGAGAGAAGGGTGTGGAGAGGTGCCAGTGGGCTGCTGTCAGACCTGGGTTCGAGTTCACCACTCTGCCGGCCCTGGGTACCTCTGGCAGTGGCTGCCCCTCTGGGGGCCTCTGTTTCCTTACCTGTGAAATCCAGTGAGGAGAAAAGGGTGCCCATCCTTGGGTGCAGCCAGTCTGATGGAGGAGCCACAGTGACACCTGGCAGTCACAAACACAGAGATCAGAGCCATAAAGAAGTAAACACGGCCAGAGCATGACTAGGGGACTGGGAGGTGGATCTGGGGAGGGCGTTCCTAGCAACAGAACAGCCAGTGCAAAGGCCAGGAGGCAAGACCTGAGCTTGGTGTGTGTGGGGGGGGACAACCAGTAGGTGACAGGGGCGGGAGGAGGTGCCAGGGGGCTGGGGCAGCACCCAGGGCCAAAGGTGCCAGGTGGGGGACCCGTGAGACCACAAGGCACAGCTCGGGGCTGCCCCCACACATCCGCCCCCGCCCCGCCCGCCTCTGACTCATCAGCGCCGACCCTACAAAAACAGGGCCCGCCCCGCGCTGGGGGGTGGCAGAGTCAACAACACGGGCACACGGGCAGCACGTCCCGGCGGGCCCGGGTGCGTCACGGGGCGGGCGGGGAGAACCAGGAAGTCAGCCCGGGGCCCAGGGAGTCTGCACAAGTTGGCAGAAGCGGGAGGAAGCGCCGCGTTAGCCCCGGGCGGCAGGGACCAGGCTGAGACCCGA